TTAACACGATCGCTCTGCTTTCGCAAACACTCACGGTGATTTTGGACATCGTCGAAGTGGGCTCATCCATTGGACTGTATACAGTCACAGGGGTATTCGCCACAGTACTGCCCGTCCTCGGGGCTGTGCTCGCCGTTCTTGGCGTTGTAATGATGCTCATCAACCTGTTCGTGAACTTGTTTGGTGGCTCTCCACCTCCCGACCCGGTGCAGGAGTTCATCGACCATGTAGCCAAAGGCCTAGTCGGGGGATTTGAAAACGCGCCGCCGCCGAAACTCGACTATACCATCCCCAGCGTCATCTACGAATCCGGCGAAGTGACCGGCATCACCATCAAAGGCGAAAACACAACGAACGATGAGATCAGCATCCCTAATGCCCGGATTGTGGTGAACAGCGGCAGCGACGACGTCTGTCTGTTCTCTACGGATGATTTCGAACTGGTGGAGGATACAGACACCGACAAGGATTCGGATAAACATCTCTATGTAACCCCGAACAGCACAGCCGAGGGGACATTGTCCAGTAGTGTTCTGGGCGACGAGACAGAGTACCACGAGTTTGATCTAGTGGTCGGTGGGAAAAAGAGGATACGGAGAACAGTTTGCACAAACTGATTTTGCAGGCCAAGGAGAGCTTCACAGCGGTATGGACGGGGCGAATCAACAAAAGCGGTCGGAGCGTGGTCGAGATCATTGAGAAGTCGGACCTTGACAAATGCCATGTTCAGTATACGGTGTTCAGGGTTTGACAGCCCGACTCCGCTATACTTGCCTGTTTCAGCCAACAGATTGATCTTAATATTGATATGGTGTGCTTTTTAGCCAACAGAATGAAACACGGATGGATGGCTTTGATACCGGCACGGGGTTATCCTCGCGATCGTATTCGCCGGTGCCTTGAAACTGCTAATTAAAAATCCCTCAGTAATAATTGGGTGCTTCGAAGATACTGCATCCCGGTAGTCAGACACAGACTTCTCGTCCGTGGAAGTGATGCGACCGTGATGGAGTCGATGGAATAGAACCATCTAGAGCCAGTTAGTTTAGTTCGGTTGGGCAGTTAGTAGATAACTAGATACTACTACTACTAGCAGACAGTCAGTCAGGTGCTGCCGGTCGGGCGGGCCAGAAACTTCGTAGTTAGTTAGCGTCCGGTCGGACAAGGCGAGCGAAGCAGAAGGAGAAAAAAAATCAGGGCGAGAGCGTGATCAACAGGGGGTGAGGCAGCTGCTAGTCTAAGCATTCATCACATCAACACCACCACCATCACCAACACACGTCGCCTGATCGGGGCGCGTAGATAGTAGTCCTCCCAGCATCGTTCATACGATTCTCAATTAATTAATTATTTTCGAAGATCATCATCAGGACTAAATAGTAGTCGTCATCAATTGATCATCCCTTTCAAACAATGATGTGAAAGAAAACGGTCGCATGCCATTGACTGGTTACACAGAAATGCCCAGGACTGAGGAATTGAGAGGGGGAGGGAAAGCAGCATGTAGCGATGTAGCAACCTGTTACGAAACAAGAAAGCAAGTAAACTAAGCAAGAGGCCCGGGCGCGGCGGAAATATCCCCGTGACAGGAAACATTCTGCTTGGCGTGGTGGGTGGTGCCGATTTGCCGCTGGGTTTTGACTTTCACTTAGGAGTATACCACAGTCATCAATTTGTTTTGTATGGTTCCATCTAATCAGCGGGTGATGGATTGATTCATGGGATTGATTGATTGGATTCGAGGTGATGAGTTTACGTTCCGTTCCGTTATCCGGATTATCGTCGACCAACTAATCTACCACTCTTCGTGAGTTCGGACCTGAAATGATCGGCAGGCAAGCATTGCTGCTCGGTACCAAGTAATCCTGATACTCAGATGGGCTAGTATACATTTTTTTTCCATTGTGGTTCTTTTTCATCCTGGAAATGACTGAATTGAGTGAAAGGACGGATCCTTGGCAGATATCGTGGTACATCATCGTGCCTCGTCATCAATCATCATGGAAGAAAGGATTATGGAATGAGGAGATTGACCGTTTTTTGGCTATATACGTGTACACTTTGGTGGTGTGGAATGACGATCGCAGAGCAAATTTGGCCAGGCGGTGTATGTGTATGATGGGTGTGGTATAGTCATATGTTGGGATGTAGTTACTGTGTGTGTGTGTGTGTGTATCTATCACATCTAGACCTCAAACTAAGAAATCAAGCCAGAAAAAGAATCGGAGAATTATTAGAGTTTCAGCGCGGACATCACCAGCGGAAAGTTCTCCTTCAGCTGCCATGGTACAGAGCTTGGACGGGAAGGGGAGAATAATGGATGGGGGGTGAACCCGATGGCCACTCTTTCCGGTCGGGATCCCGTGTTGCAACAACACCTCGCATTCCTCATTGACTAAGTGAAGTGAAGGGGGGGTGGTTGGGGGTTGGAAGAATTACGTACAACTTGGGTCGAAGTCTGATGATCTCGACTGATCTATGGAAGTAAATATGATAATGATAATGGTAATTGCAATGGCGAAATCTATCAACCCAACGCGCCGATTTAACCGAGTATTTCACTATCATGAGAAATATCGGTGGTGGTGGTGGTTGGGTTGTGAGTAATGAGTAAACTAGTAAGAGTGTTGGGTAAACGAGAAAAGTTTGTCCTTCTAGACTACCGTCGACTTAGACTTGGACCTTCTATGCGTGATTTGATAAGGGTGGCGTTGCTTGTTGCTTTCCCGTTTTTCGCACGGACTAAACCCGAAGCAGAGCAGCTAACCACGTTCTAGTCCTCTGCAATCGCCCGTCGGATCCAAAGTGCCGTTCGGGCTTGATTATTTTTGGAATGGGGCCTGGGTGATTTTGCTGTTCGCATGATCAGCAAGAAAAAAAAAAAAAAAAAAAAAAAAAAAAAAAAAAAAAAAAGGAAAAATCGGATGGGACAACAAAATAGCGCAAGTCAGGAACAAGGAGTCATAGAGTACGTAGTCGACAAGAGAAAAAAAAGTTATATAAACTCCCTTCTGGTACCGTCGATTTGCAACTTGGAATCATCATCATCCAACAAAGCAAAGCAAAGCAAGCTAGCTTCTCTCTTCTTCTCTCTACATCATCGCATTCCAAAACCTCCACACAACTCTCAAGTCTATATCCCACGACTTCCCTCTTACAACCAATTACAACCCAATAATCCACATTCCTCAAAACCACCTTCAAAATGACTATCCCTTATCCCTTGATCGGCCCTGAGTCCTACGGCCTTGGCTCCAAGCAGGCGCGCCGCAACCGCAGCACTTGCAGCACCCCTCGCAGCGTTGACAGCATCGTCGTCGATGCCGCTTTCGCCAAGGAAATCCAGTCCACCAACGCCTCCCAGGAGCATTTGGATTCTTGTGCTAGCAGCAACAAGTCTGAGAAGAAGTGGAAGGCTCGATTCTCGAGGAAGTATGTTATCCCTTGAGTTCACCAATATCGAATATAAAAGAGTGCGATGCTAACGATGAAACTTGAAGGTTCTTCCACTTCCCTTGAGAAATTACCACACCACACACTACACTACACTACACTACGAACAAAAACGACAAACATAATCGACAATAATAATGATCGCTGGACGGAATATAGCAAAGCAAAGCAAAGCAAAGCAAAGCAAAGCATGGGTGTTAGATGGATTGCATAGTCGGGAGCATTGGATTTTTTTTGCATCATGTCATGATTGTTATGGATAATTTAGATAATACTTAATTAATACCCGCGGGATATGCACGCTTCTACTACCTATCTTCCTGATGTCTTCACTCAAGTATAGAATAGACACTGTGATACGAACACTTATTGGTACCACATCGGAGAATTAATCCTATCCTACATATACTACTACTGTGTACACTGCAGAAAAACCTGCTAGAAGATATCAAATAATCCCTGTTGTCACACGCACATCACACACCCACAAACTATAACTCACTACTAACTAGATAACTAACTAGATAAATGCAATGACTCAAACCGGTTTCAATTTTCTAAAACAGCCCAGACACAGACTCCCAGATAACACTAGCGACACTAGCGGCCAGTAATATCTCAGAGAAGAGAAGAAAATCTCCTCTTCCCTCCCGACGCTAACGATTTTAGTCCCGCTCGGATAGAACGGCCCTGCCCTGCCACGCCACGCCACTAGATTTCGACTTTACGCCACGGCGATCCAATCAGTCAGGAGGTGGAGATGATGCTGAGGAATAGGCCAATCATGGGGGTTAGTTTTCGATAATCGGTAGATACTAAGTAGTTAAGTGTCAAGGGTGTTTGCTGATGGGGGTTTATGATCGTTCTGCAGGTGATGATGGTGGGGACTTTGATTATACGTAGTATACTAGTTTGTAGGATGGGGAGGTTTGGAATTAAGTAACTTAGTTGGTGGATAGTATGATTGCCATATGCTATGCTATCAGGGGTAGGGGTAGTAAGTTGTTCATTTATCGCTGGTTTGGAGCTAGAGTGCAAAGTAGGTAAATCAGGGGCAGCCTCACCACTTTACTTGCAAGGCGATGCTTACTGTAGTACAAAGCACTCTGTAGTGAGCGATTTATTGCACAGCACTCTTCAAAGCACAGTGTGTTTCATCCCATCCCCCTGGAGTTCCTTAGTAATTCTGTCATGGTGACTGGTGGTTTCATGTTACACTACGGCGCTTAATGTCATGTCTGCTTCCGGATACTCTATACTACGTCTAGGACAATTCTTTTTTTTTTTTCTTTTCGTAAATCTCGTTCATTCATCGTAACTGCATCGCATCTATGTAATGGTCGGATGATGCCTCGCCCTTTCCATGACCCCTTGGATCACAATGACATACTACCCATGAACCCACCCACAGGCTGCTATATTTAGCAAGCAAGTAAGCAAGCATGCACATCAAAGTCCATGATGCCACGACCTGTGGAGACTCAGGGAACATGGGACCCTCCTGAATATCACTGCAACACAGGACAGACCCACGGATAAGGAGCGATCAGACAGACAGAAAGAAAGAAAGACAGGGTGAGAGTGGGTCCAGAAGCTCCGATCAACCCGACCGGATTCGGTCGGTCGGTCGGTCGGTTAAGTCTTGGCCATCAGTATGACAGCCCAAGACACAGCTTCCCATCCCAGCTCATTCTATCTGGAAGAGTCAGATGGTCCCTTGCTGTCGGATTCTTCTTTGTTTCCCTGACGTCTGTTCCTGGCAGATTGGCCCCAGGTATTCAGCTGGTTAATGTTCCTTGGGGTGGTGATGAAGCTAGCTTGCGCTTCAGTGATCTGAGCACCACCACTACCTCCAGATTTCTTGTTGTTGTTATTGTTGTTGTTGGTGGAGCCGGTTCTGTCAGACATTTTGGATATATTGTAAACCGTTAGCAAACTGCGGTGGGTATACTATATGTCAGTGTTATCTTGGGTTGTTTGAGTGAGATTCTCGAGAACAACTGTTCAGATACTGTCTGGGGGAGAAGCTGGAGCTGTGAGGCTGTGAAGACCGTTGTGAGCGATGATGAATTCGAGATTGGTGTGGTTTCTTCATGGTTTATATAGACAATGTTCCCTTCATCTTGACTTTTGTCATGGATGGATTGAAATATTCGTGGACTGCTTTTTCCGGTGTCGTGAGAAATTCATCGCGAGATTTCATCTTGCAGCGTAGGTTGCAGAGGAGTATACCGTCGACGTAGGAGAGTCACTATGAGCAATATGTATCAGTAAACTGTAATCTATGAGAGCATTCGGAATATGTCTGGTTATTGGAGGAAGATAGAGAGTACATCGTAGGATATGCTTAACGGGACCGGAAACAGATTCTGGGAGCACTGCATCTTTGGTCATTACCGCAATATAGCCGTATATTTCTCATATTGATGCCGGTGAGGATTTCAGAAGATGGCGAGGCAGACCTCGAGATAGAATATACAATTAACCTTGTGAAAACCTGAAAACGCTGCATCTCTGGTTTGTACCGCAATATCAGCGTATAAGCCTCCTTCTACCATCAAAGAGCATCCTTAAAACTCACTCTGCGAAAGTTTAAACGTCTGTTCAATGACTTGTTGTCGCAACTTCTCACAGCCACACTACTATGTTCGCTGGAGCAAGCCGTAACACCCACAGCTTGCAGAGAGACAAGAACTGTGGCGCTTTCTTGCTGCAGAGCGATGTTTGCGCCTTGTTGATTCTAGAACAATTCGACAAAGAAAAGGAAGGGGACGAGGCTTTGTGGGTAGAAGCACGGGAGGAAGAAATGAAAAGAAAGAGGAAAAAGAAGCGACACGGCATAAACTGACAATGGGCTCGTGACTTGCCAAAGGAGTATCACGACTGAATTTTCTCGTCGGAGCTTACGCATTAGAAATTGCACCTTATTCCAGGCTTTATTGTCATTCTATAACTTTCCTGACAGTCTCGATCGGTTCCGGCTTGCGTAGGACTGCCCCAAAGTGAAGTTTAATATGGTGCAATTTGTTCAAGGAGTGACCAGTAGATTTGTAACGGAAGAATGGTATGTCTATTGTCTATTTTGATTAGAATGCTGGCATTATACCTAATCACAGTGATTGTCCAATTACGCCGCTCTTTGATCCCCTCCACGTCTTCCACGGCCCCTGCCGCGCGTGCTCTTTTGTCTCTTCTCAAAACCACCTCTGCCCTCGCCTGGTCCACCGGCACTGGCATCGCGCTTGCCACCAGGACGACCACGCGGCGCAGAAGAAGCACCTCGAACCGAGCTACCCCCATTTCCATAATTGAATCCCGGAATACCCTTCAAGCCCATCTTGCCGACGATCTTCTTGTCGATGACAGGAGGCTCGGGACATGCCATACCTTGGATAGCCATGTCGTTGGCCATCTGAACAAGACCCGTTTTGTCGAGACGAAGTTGCTTCAGAAGTCCCGATCCAGCAAAGAAACCGATGAAAGACGAGTAGGCGCGTTGCTTCTTCTCTTCGTCAATCGTGTACATAGCTTCTGCGACAGTATCTGCATATGAGGCAGCCGCCTCGATGATGGCGTCGGTCTGGGGGTGAGGCTGGATGGGCAAGTGGCGATTGTTTCTCAGGAAGAAAGTCTCCGCTTCGGTAAGAAGGATAATGGCACGGCCATCATTGCCAGCACGGGCTGTACGGCCGACACGGTGAACGTATTGTTCACCGTTTGTCGGCAAGCCAACCTGGATGACCAAGTCGACGTTGGGGAAATCCATGCCACGGCCAATGACGTCGGACGCAAAGAGGATTCCAGCGGCAGCTTCCTTGAACTGAGCGGTAGTCTTGGTGCGAGCGCTCTGACTGAGTCGGGAATGGATCTCAAACACACTCAACTTCGTCAAGCCCCGAGAAAAGGCGGCCGCGAAGAGACTGACCATGTTTGCCGTGACGCCAAAAACGATAATCTTCGAACTGTTCTTCGTTTCCAACTGGAGAACGGAGGCAAGAGTGGTAAAAGAATCTGCCACAGACGGCATCAGTACATGATACTGGGGGACTCTCTCATGCGTTGGGGTTTCGTTTTCATCAATAGTAGAAATGCTACTGTAGCCTGGCTTGAGCACAACACTGACCACATCCCTGACTTTGGGGGGAAGAGTGGCAGAGAAGCACATTCCCTGCCATCCGGCGCTCTTGGGAGGAATGTGTCTGATAATGTGCTTCACATCAGCTAGGAAGCCACTCTCGAGCATCGTATCAGCCTCGTCCAGGATCAGGGTCTTGATGTTAGACAGCTTGATGGCCGCCTCAGGCTCGGACAGGTAATCTTTCAACCGTCCTGGAGTTGCTACAAGAACAGAGGGGGCCTCTCTCATGAAGCGCGAGAAAGCAGAAGCCCGAGCGGTTCCACCAACAGCAATGTCGCACTTCAGAGGTACTGCCATTTGCGATGTCAGTTGATCACATGACTTGGCAATCTGCTGGGCCAGTTCACGCGTAGGGGTAACGATCAAGACAGCGACCTGGCCTCTGGGCGGTGCCATAGAGCCATTAAGAAGGCAGTGCAATGTGGGCAGCAGGAAAGCCAGCGTTTTGCCGGTACCAGTCTTAGCCTGGACGAGGCAGTCACTGCGCCAATCTGGCAGTTCAGTTAGCACCCGTTGCTGAACGGGCGTCATATGGGTGAACCCCAAGACATTCAGAGCTTGGAGAAGCTTAGAGTCCAGCTTTCCAGCCATGGACTCATACGGCACCGTGCCGACGGTGGTCCCAGAAACCTGCATGATGGATGGTTGAGTTTCTATTTTTATAGAATAACCTGCAATTAATTGCTAGAGGAAATTTTTCGACAGGTGAAAATATTGATGACGCTTGGGCAAATGGCCGTTTTTACCTGCAAAAAGCAAGGCAATGGAACAGTGAGTGAGTCTGCTCCCTTCTCATTTCCCTTTTCACTTTGGATATGATGGTAATGATTCTGCTGGTTGGTAGGTGTGAATCAACCGAGTCGTGGGTCACTTTCAATCTCGTCGAGATTTGCCTGCCAAGACAAAACTTAGTCAGCGCGCAATGATTGGTTGCCTTGGACCCACGGCCCTGGAATGGAGTGCGGGCCGCCCATCTTTATCGGAAAGCGAATAGGAACTTCTCTTTGCGAAGCTTGTCCATGGCGCTGACGGGCATGCTGAATTTTACATGCATGGTGAATTCAGTTTTCATTGGTAGATGTATCGAAGGATCATGGAATATAAGTGGAACATCCCGGACTTGAAAAGATTGCTGATTGCAAGGAAGAGTCAGACACACTCTCTTAACATGTAAAAGAAGAAGGCTAATGGAATTACACGGGGATAGGACGCCGTACGAAACCTGCTTTTGAAACTATAGCTCATATAGACAGGGCTAGACCATCCGTGTCCCCTAGATACTCCGAAATGAGTACTGCAGAATGACGGGAGCTACCGCCCATATGCATGATGCTAATGTCACAGACTGCTACAACTAGACCAAAAAGAGAATTCCCTCGGGTAGTGGTGTGCCTCGATCTACCGACATAGTGTCCAATTTCAGACTACGAAGGATACTACGCTGAATGGCTTGATGCACTCCAAATGACCAGTACATTGGTACCAAACAACTACCTGTTTCACATATCATACGACTGCTCAGTATTTACATGCACAATCGTTCAATCCACACATCCACCGCTTACTGAACAGTGATGGACGAAGATCCACTGCTCTGGTAACCCTCGGTAGCCACGATCTGGTAGTTGTGAGTACCCAGGTTCATTCCCAGCTTAGCCCAAGCATTGAAGTGGTTGGAGGTGGTAACAGTTCCGCCAACTCTCTTGTTCTGGCGGACGGACCAGTACTGAGTGAAGGTAGCGGTTCCCTGAATGGAAGCAGCATTGGTACGGGTAGCCGTGTAGATATCGTAAACGGATCCGTCCGAGGTGACGGTGCCCTTGTATGTGCCTCCACTGCCGGGGTTGTAGTCGCCGTAGGACTCGACGATGTAGTACTCGATCAGGGGGTCAGTGGTCCAGCCATAGACGGAGAGATAGCCGTTGCCGCTAGGGGTGAAGGTGCCGCTGTAGGTGATGTCCCTGGAGATGATGTGAGTAATCGTTTTATTGGATCCTTTAAAGAGATAGTGTGAGGATGATTAACTTACTGCGCACTTCCGGGGTTCCAGCCCTTTCCACCGACAAAGTTGCCCACGTTGGACCACTCAACAGTGTAGGCACCAGCATCTCCGTTGGTGTAGGTCACGTCGCCACCGCCGTCGGTCCAGAAGGAGTAGTAGAAGCCGTTGTTCTCGCCGGTCGAGCTCGGGGTCGAGCGCTCAGAGAGCATGTGCAAGGCATCCGAACGCTGGGCGACAGAGTCGTGGGGAACAGCCAGAGCAGCCTTAGCCGCGGCAAAGCAGAGGAGAAGGTTCTTGGTGAGCATGATTGTTGATTGATGATATAGCTTGGAAGATGATTCACAGAGGCTGGGAGTCAGAAGAGAAGGTCTGCAGAGACGGAGGAGACGTTCCTGATATATACCCATGATTCTGCAGGAGTATTTAGCCTTTATTAAGAAGGGACCCTGCCGAGACCCTGCCCAGGCGCTAAATGTGAACCCCTGTTGTACCTGAAACGTCCACTGTGATGGGTTTTAGCCTAGTCGGTGGAGCGTCCGTGAGCGATTGGGAATGTCGGATTGATCTCCCGAATCAGCCTAAATCGCCTTCCAAGGTGCTGCAGGTGTCCTGGATTATTATGTCTGTTCGAATAGGCAGTGGAGCTTGAAGGGTATAGACTTGCTTAGGTGAACACTGCAATCCGCCTGTAGACTATAAGCTGACTCCATTGTTGTGCTAAAAGGCTTCATTATCTATTACGTAAGACCCATAGTTTTGGCTATCACCCAAACATCGAGAGCGCTGTATACTACTTATCAGTGGAGGTGCCAATTTGAGCTACTTCGCATGAAACTGTTAGTTTGTATGAAAAAAGGTGGGGGAGAAGCGTGTACAGTACCGGTCCTATGACGGTCAAATGGAAAAGGCTAGGCGCCAAACACTATCCTGATATTAGCCTGTGGCTTAAAAAGATCCGATTGCTCAGGTAACTGCCCTGTAGCATAGGTTGCCAATAGTTGACATCTTATTTTGAATATAGGCGACATACTTTGCCGTGTAGAAACAATGCCACGCTTCTCGTCGGTAGTATTATCCGAGGGCTTACGCAGTGTAGTATGATGAAAATATCTATCATTGAGTGCTGCTAAGTCTGTAGGCAGCTGAGCAATAGCGAACATCAAATGCATCATTGTGATGCAAAAAACAGCAGCGACGATCAAAATATATAAGCCAACCCGTCATGGCAAAATGGAAAACAACAGGCTAGTAATAAAACAGGCTAACATCGAGCATCACGTTGATGAAAGTATTATAGCAAGCAAATCCATCTCATCATATAAAGCTCTATCACCTCAGCAATAGTCATTTGTATCGTATTCTGGATAAATGTGATCGAGGCTGCAAACTGAATTGCCCCCCAGATAGAACGAGGTAACTATGATCCAATCATCAGTATGGGTCACAACACTCATAATGACAACATCAACATGTAAAGAAACTCACGATCAACAGGCAGATTGCTGCTTGGGTTTTTGATCACGACCTGGCTTTCTTCGGCCGAAGTCAGGCTATTCTCGCATTTCAGCTGCTCTGTGCCGTAAGTGGTTGAGTTTCCCCCCAACCATACGTCGACGTGCCAAATATGGCTCTTCCAATCTTTTGTGCACTGTTCGCAATAGTCTTCGTTGATCAGATATTTCTGTAGGTATGGTGAGTAGACGACCTCGCATCTGTCGAATTCGCCAGGCGCCGTGGCGAAAGTCAGCGGATTCTCGTGGGTGCCGATACCGCCAGCAGCCATGCCGCGACCACAGTCTTCGGAGATATCTGAACCCGGAGGGTCATTGTCGGGATATCCATAGAAGGTGTAAGATACTTTGCTGACAACATGGCATTCCCCATCCTGGGACTGGCTTCCTCCCTGTACGGGCTGTGTGTCAGTTACATTGACAACTCCATTTGGCCGCTGAGAGTCCTCCCCATTAGAAGTAGCACTTGGCTGATGTGGAACATCACCGGTCGGAGTGGCACCCGTGGTATGAGTGCCAGTTCCATTTTGAACACCGCCTCCGTTGTAAGTGCTTCCATCGGGATCCAAGGAATGGGTGTCGTTTCCTTGAGTAGTACTTACTCCGGTATTATGGTTGCCTCCGTCGTGGTTATTGTCGTGCTTAAGCCTTTTAGGGAGCAAGACTGAGAGACAGACAACTGCAACAATTATAGCGACGAGGGAAATGGTTCCGAGAAGGATCGACACCAGGTATTTGCGTTTGTATCTTGGACCTTTGGTTGGCTGCACATTATTTGGAGTTGGGAGATAGCTGGCAGTTTGATCGGAAGACATTATTAGGCGTAGATACGGGAACGTAGAAATTTATTTGTAGTAAATCAAGAGCGTGTGGTTTGATTGCAGGGTAGACGGTTTGTGTTGTGGTGGTTTGGAAGAGAACAAAGAGAAAAGGGGCTTAAAAACTCAGGAACAACATATTCTCGATAAACTCATCGCTGCGTCTGCAGGTTGAGTCACAGACCGGGGTCAGCCACGGTTTAGATCTCAACCGTGAGCAAACACCGGGGTAACCCATGATGCGCTACATAAACAGCAAGTATGAGTGTGGCTATGCAACATAGATGCCTGGGAAAACAGCCCGTAATAACTGCGTAGCCGACGTGATAAGGTTGAGAGAAGAACATTGTATCGCCCTTTGAAGTCGCCGATATATTGATTGCCAATATCCTTTCCGTAAAGGCTCCAGTTCAGTATTGTTGGATACTGGCTGTCTTCGACTGGTCGGACTATGTTAGAATATAGATGAGGACGCCATCACGCAACTTCAATGATACATCGCTGACATGCAGGATGTCGGCCAGGGGCCTAGCACCCTCACGCCGCATTGATCCCTTCTGAAGTACTTCAGCCCCGGGTTTGTAACCAGTGTATCTGCATCTAGGCGTCTCGGCATAAGGCGCGGCGTCCGCGTGGTGAGCGACATACATCATTCGAATTAATAACGACAGAATAGCGTAATAGATATCCCATACGGTTTGCCACACTATTTCTGCGATACATCTTGCTGGTAAACATTGGTTTTATCGAGGAAGCATGTCCGCTATTTGATTATCGAAGAACTGAGATAGATCCCTCCAGACTCCATGCTAAGACATCCTGACTTTAAAAACCCAGCCTTATCCACGTGGTTAAGTATTTGTAGAGAGGAATAAGGCTTATGGACGAGGATATTCAGAGATAAGCTAAGTTCACTGAATATCCGTGCTCATCATTGCGTCTTCGCTATAAACAGGATCAGCCAGGTTCAAGAACCAAATTTAAGCGCTGTACCAACCTAGTATCCATATCATCATCTTCATTAAGCGAGAGATATATGGTCGACTGGCTGGGTCCCATCCCCCCGGGTTGTCCAGCAGCGGCATTTCGATAGCTGACCAAGTCGCCGCGTGCAATGGCCAGGATAGAAGCTGTACCATAATCCAGTGGGTGATAGACCGCAAGCAGAACACCCCGCATAGTAGGAGGAATGGCTGGATTGTAGTGGTAGATCGCGTAGGTCAAGCTATCTATGTTCTCAATAGCTCTCTGAAACTGTTCGGCTCGGTTCTGGTACTCTTCTGTACACGGGAAATATAGCCACGTCGTACTAAACTGCCACTGAGAAACGTCAGGATCATCAGCCATATTGAGTCTCTTAAAGACGGATATTAGGGAGGTTGTAAGAGCCAGCGCGCGTCTGAGGAAATAGAGAAGTCAAAAGAAGTGAGGAGTTGACAGAGGTGAGGTTGGAAGAGGATGCCGTATTTATATTTCTACCTCCTAGCAGTCACTCATCTCTGGAAGTCGAATTCAATATGATTATTCCTCTGGCCGGTAAAACGGCCTGCCGAACATATGATAGCCATTCCTACATATGTAAGTTTATGAATGCAGATGTCTGCGTATCTTGAAATTCACAAAGGGAGGTTGCCTCAGTGAAGACTCGTGGCAACGCTCATAGATCCGGGCCCAGGGCCCGTTTTTTTCCTAAAGAGGTGTTAGTCAATTTACGACAAGGAAATGAGAGAAGAGTAACTGTGAAACACCTCATATCTGACTGTGTGGGTGACATCATGCGATGGCCGTCAAGAGAAATGAGCCACAGCAATTAGGCATTCAGGAGTCCTCGAATCCAAGGCGTATACCATCCACGAAAGCCCTAAGTATGAGCACTCACAGTTTGGCTCAGATAAGGTGCACTGATGCTCGGAGATACTGGTCCTCCGAGGTGGAGCCCGAAGGGCATGTACGTGAAAACACGCACTGGCAAGGTTGCAGCGTGACTGGAAGACAAGAAAGCAGTACTCTTATAATCTGGATATTGGAACATGGGCTATATTCTCGTATAGACCAGCTTGGTCGTAATTCAATAAGAACCCCTGCTTTAGTGGTCAGCTATATGGGGTTAAGCTCAGGGAGAGATCGTATTGGGCTGTTTAAATGGCTCCACTAACTCTAAATCGTTTTTCAAGCTGGATAAGCATTTAAGGTTCAAACTGATATTATCGAGGTGGGTATAATGGTCTATCCCATCTGTGTGATCAACTACTAATCTTCTGCCTTATGACTCTCTTTCAATCGGTGGGGTAATTGGATGCACCACACAAGAGTTGCCATCATTTCTTGTCGCGACGCGCGTCAACTTCATCGAATCAGACGGCCCGACAGGCAACAGATAGCCACTAGTACTCCATAGCCATCACCTCATCAATCAGCACGAAGGCGTCACCACCAAGCTTGATCGGAGTCCACTGAGCTGTGGTGATGTATCGCTAGAGAAATGTCCGTGCGTCGGCTCTCGCCTACGATAACAATTTGGGACCGTCGAACCAGCGAGCTTCTCCCCGTCTAGTTGGTTGTTGGCAATCATATGAATAACATGGGCTGATATAAAAGTATTCCTGCCAGTTTATATCCAGCGAAATTGCGCACTCACAGGGCACTCAGCACGCAATTGACGCTAATAGCATGTCACCATCAGCTCATCCTGGCCGCTCAGCGAAGGCCATGGGAAGTCATGGGGAGCCCCGATCGAAGAGATCACTTATATCTCAGGCTGAGCCTGTCTTTAGTCGTCCTGAAATGTTCCGGAGATTTACTTCTGCATCCATCCACACATAAGCCAACAGCACCGTTACCATGGCGCTTTGGAAGTTTCCCAAGCTCAACTCCACGCTAGGGACGCTGAGGGCCTATCACTTGGCCGCAATCATATTGTGAGAGGTGCCCCTGTTTCCTACTTCTTTTACGTGATCACTAACCTCGAGACCCTTTCAGCGTCTCTTCGTTCTTGGCAGGTTATGACTCCGGCATTGCGGGCGGAATTTTGAGCTACAAGACCTTCGAGGATGACTTTCGTTATACTAGCGCCCACGAGTCTAAGGTCTCTTCCTTAACGGTCGGCCTGGAGCAGCTGGGGTCCTTCGTCGCATCCCTCTTTGCTTATTATCTCACCGACAAGTTTGGGCGCAAATGGGTTATCATCGGCTCAACTGCTGTATTCTGCATCGGAGTGATCATTCAGGTCATCAATACCCACTCGCTCGGTGCATGGTATGCAGGCCGCATTATCGCTGGTATCGGTATGGGAGGTCAAAGTGTTGTTGTTCCCATGTACTCCGCCGAGATGACGCCGAAGGAAATCAGAGGGCGATGCGGTTCCTTCTATCAATGGCTATACACATGGGGTATCCTTGCGGCTTATTGGATAGACTATGTACGTGTACTGGACAGCCGTTACGCCAGGTTATTGACTGACATTGAAACGCATAGGGCGTCGCAGCGAGTGCAAGTATATCGAAAACATCACGCGAATGGCAGATCCCCGTGGGTCTCCAGCTGGTCTCGGGAGGAATCATGGTAATCGGAGCATGTACACTGCCTGAGTCCGTACGTTGGCTACTAAGCCAAAACAGAGCCGACGAAGCTTGGAAGTCCTTGACCTGGATTCGCGGTGACGAAGGGGAGAAAACCATCGAAGAGTTTAAAGAGACACAGCTCGGCTTGAAGGCAGAAAAGGCAGCGAAAGAGAACTTTTCTCTTCGTGAGCTGTGGGAACCGGCTAATCGCCTGCGTTTCTGCGTCGGGCCTATGCTTTTTGTTTTTCAAAACGCAACGGGAAGCAGTGCCCTTGCTGTCTTCGCACCAGAATACTTCAAGCTCCTTGTCGGAAGCGGAGGTAACCGTGATCTTCTGCTCACTGGTCTCTTTGGTGCTGTGAAGTTCATTGCTTGCACATTCTTCATTCTCTTCCTCGCAGAACGATTCGGCCGTCGGATTCTGCTCACAGGCGGATCAGTCTTCATGGCGATTTGTATGTTGATTACCGCTTTGATTGTCAAGTGTATCCCGACCGAGTCGAATACGTCAGTCACATCTGCCGGCCGAGCCACGGTCGCCATGCTCTACTTGGATATCATGGTAGGCAACTTTCGTCTTATAGTCAAGTGACTCACTGTCTAACGTGCTACACTAGGTTTATAATTGCTCATGGGGTCCGGTCCCTTGGGCATATGTGCCGGAGATTTTCCCCACGCGCATTCGAGCCCTGGGACTAGCATGCAGTATGTTGGCTCACTGGGCGACATCATTCTGTTTTTCCTTTGCTAGTCCCTACATGATTGACAACATCGGAGCAAACACCTTCCTGTTGTTCATGGCTTTCGATATTGCCGCTGCACTCTTCTGCTTTGTCTTTGTCCGTGAAACTCGTGGTCAGAATCTGGAGGTTGCCGCAGGGACCGAGTGGGACGTGGTTGAAAAGTCCGCTGATGATCTGGCGGCAAGCGAGAAAGGCGAAGTCGACATTGATAAACCTTCAGAGATTGGAGTGGCACCTGCGGCTGGCAAGCAACTGGAGGTCGTTGCGGTGCACGATACTTACGGCTCGAATTTTAAGCGGCGGTCGTAAACTAACCACATATAATTATCGATCCGATCCGATAAATTTATTTACGGAGGGCTGGTCATATGTCGTGAAGGGATGTGTTGCAAACATTTTGTCTGTTGACAGTATAAATATACAAGACGTGATCATTGCCATGCATTTCGATCCGCTCTTATAATTGCTAGGATATAATAGGACTTACCATTTCCTTAGAATTTTCTTAATTCACCAGATGCCATTGGGTTTGATATATCCAGGCCTCTGACCACCCACCACGACTTGCCCACAAAAGGCCCATCAGGGAATGAACTCTTCAAACAAAAATAGAGAAATTTTAGATTTATACTTAGAGTAGAAAAGTCAAAAACTGTCCATCATCACTTCCTGATTGCTTCGCGTACTGTAGCCATTGACCCTGTGAAGTAAGTACTAAAGTACAGTCGTGAGGCTCGGGGTGATTCTCACGTGGTCCATTCCACTCTCTAGCGACTGACTGTCCAACTCAATCTTTGCCGTCAACTTCGCCTTCCACTCCATGACTGTTGCCTTACTATTAACCACAGTCATTTCAGGAGGCTACATCCGCTCCATATAATGCTACGCAGTCATCCTTGGTCAAGATCAAGTTTTGGCTCAATGTTGTCAGGGCAAATTTAAGATGCGACAATGGGGATGTTTCGATTTCTTTGAAGGACTTGCTGGAGGTGTAACCACAGCGGTGAGTACAAGCATGCCTGTCTCCCTATATTCTTTGTAATATAACCCCCTGTTGCAAAGCCTATCTGATTTTTCCGTCGAATCACTATCCAGCCAATTATTCTGACGATCGTGACTCCATAGAGCATCCCAGGATAGTCGAAAGATACAGTAGCATCATATGTCATGAGTCATTGACGACAGTTGACATATATCAGTCTTAGTCGTATTTGATTCATGCCGGGATCATCTAAACTTCAGGCCAAGAAAGCTTAAAGAACCAATGACTTTCTAGAAGGGTAGCCCCGAAAGCGCATACACCAGAGGCAGATGATCCATGATCGAAAAGACGCTACGCATTTATCGCAACCCCACGGGTTGCTATAAGCAAAGGAATAAGATTTGGTATTTTCCAGACTGATCGGAAGATCGCTCAACTCGTGGGGTGCAAATCTAGTTCGTCGATGATGGTTCGTTAGGATGCAGGAGAAGCTGTGGCTTAAAACCCATTGGAGGTCGTAGTAGAGGGCTACTTGGCAGCTGGCGATCGAAAGGCTACTAAACATATTCTAAGGTTAAGGATACGAAACCCCGGCTAAGCCCTTTCCCCGTGAGCTACACTTTGAGTATTGTTTACGACTTTACGTTCCATTTTCACATTTTTTTTCCCCCATCAGCAGACTCATCTTTCCCCCACTTCGCCATCTTAAAACGCTCTTGATCACCTAATCTTACGACCAGGTGCCTACAGTGGCGTCTGGGGGCCTAAACAACGTCGAACTAGGATATGACCCCGGTCAAGGGTCATTTGCACAGTCAACTCCTTCTGAAAGACCATCGCAAAGTGGTGCCGCATCAAGAGCCGGGCAATTTGTTAGAGTTCGGCCGCTGCCGACGGCCGACAGCCGATGAAGGCCCAGACTCGCCCGCACGGCCCGTGCCCGACTGTGCGATACGGTGATTGGATACATTGCTCGCTTCTTTTCACCTCAATTGCGAGATCTGGAGCAGGAATCGTGTTCATAACCCCGAAGCCACAGTGCGACACGTTGACAACCACGCTAAGCTCAGGCACGTGAGGGGTGACGCCGCCACGTGGATCTGGCCGGTTCCTCTTTTGTTCGCCATGCCGTTGATTGTTCCCAGATTTCCCCAGATCCCCAACCAATCCCCCGTAGGGTAACGCAACGGGACATTTGGGGTTGCAGTAGGACCCTTTGCTGACATGCATCTTCCTCACATCGTGCTCTCGTTCTTTTGGGACTCATGTCCTTGTTCTCCTCCTGTAAGCCACGTGCTGCTTACCACTTCCGAATGCGTCTCTTTGGTCAAAGGAGGCCACTACCAGCGAAGCTAACGGCTCCCGTATACTATTTCCGGGGTAATACCCCGGGTCTACTGAGCCCATGGGGTGAGGGTGTGTCACAGGCGGCTAAAGACTAGCCGGAAATTTTTTTTGGTGGCGTTTTCCACCGTCCTCGACTGGTTCTTTCGCTGGGAAATTGGGAGTCAGGACCATCGCGCTGACCCTCGCCAGTGGATGAACGCTACGAGTAAGCCAGCATCTTATCCCGACAATTGCCCGGAATGGCTTCTTGGCTGTTGGGCCTCAGTTCGTAGCCGAGCCCTAACCAAACGCCACAAAAATGCTTTGCGCCAGATGCTGAGGTTCGGGGAGAGACGGCGTGCTTATAATACACGGCCTCCCTCGTGTTGCTGTCGCTTGGCGAGGCTTGACTTGACTGTTCTCCCGTTTCCCTGCGTGATTCTGCCTCTGTGTAACTCTCTTGGCATCTGAGGTGAAAGCTTGTCACCATGGTGGTCAGTCAATCAGTCGTTGGTCGTACCAACGCCGAGAAGCCTCATGGCTTGATGGGCATGCTCAAGAATCCCTATGTTTTTATGACATGTGCGTTCGCCTCCCTGGGTTGTATCATGTATGGATATGATCAGGGTGTCATGAGCCCCGTCCTGGTCATGGAAAACTTTGAGAACCATTTTCCGTACTTCATGGGCTCAACCGTTCAGGGTTGGCTGGTCGCTTCTTTGGAACTGGGTGCCTGGGCTGGTGCACTGTTCAATGGTTACCTTGCGGATCGCATTTCTCGCAAGTACTCTATGATGGTGGCTGTGGTGATTTTCACTCTGGGCTCTAGTCTTCAGGCTGGCGCCCAGAAGCCGTCGTACTTCTTTGCTGGTCGTATCGTTGGCGGTATCGGCATTGGAATGTTCAGTCAGGTAAGCTTTCTCCCTTTAATATTTTTTCTCTTGTGCTAATTCGGTGTAGGTTATTCCACTCTATCAAGCTGAGATTGCGCCTCCAGAGCTGAGAGGCTCGCTGGTGTCTCTGCAACAACTGTCTATCACCATCGGCACATCAATCGCCTTCTGGCTGGATTATGGTGCGCATTTCCTTCATTCTCCTTCCCTAATACACCGTTACTAACCATGAATCAGGAATGCAATACGTCGGCGGCACTACCTGCAACCCCGAAGGCATCGCTAACCCCTACCTCGCCGATGGCACCTACAACGCTGCGCAGAACCACGGACACACTTGCTTGGGACAGAAGACCATCGCGTGGCGCCTGCCCCTCGCCCTGCAGATTTTGTTTGCCTGGATCCTGTTCTTCGGAATGTTCTTCTTCCCCTTCTCTCCTCGCTGGCTGATGTCCAAGCACCGCGAAGAAGAAGCGACGGCCGCACTCTCCAAGCTCAGAAGACTGCCGCCCAATGATCCCCTTTTGCGCGCTGAGATCCTCGAAATCAAGGCTGCTGTTCTTTTTGATGAGGAATCTGAGGCTGAAGCCATCCGTCAGGGTGGCAAGCTTGCTCCCTGGAAGATGCTTTTTGCTCCGAACATGTTCAAGCGTCTTGTTCTGGGCTGTGGTATGTCTATCTCACCCTTTTTCTCCCTCGTCTACCTTTTCTAACAATAGTATTCGTGGACAGGAGCCATGATCTTCCAACAATTCACCGGAATCAATGCTGTCCTTTACTACGCCCCTCAGATCTTCTCATCTTTCGGTTTCTCCTCCACTAAACAAACCCTCCTGGCCACCGGTGTCACCGGTATCCTGCAGATCATCTTCACCCTGCCTGCGGTGCTCCTGCTCGATAAATTTGGTCGTAAGACCTTCCTGATTACCGGAGCCGTCGGCATGTTCTGCTGTCACATTGTGGTCGCCATCGTGGAGGGTCTGTACGAAGATAACTGGAACCTGAACATGGGTCTGGATAAGCCCCAGGGATGGGTCGCAATCGCGTTCATCTGGCTGTTTGCTGTCAACTTCGCCTACTCTTGGGGTACGTACATAACCCCCCTCCCTTCCACTGCCTCCATCATAACCCAATACTAACCACTATGGAAATTTAGGTCCCGTCACATGGGTCCTTGCCCAGGAAATCTTCCCCAACAGCACTCGCTCCCGCGGTGTCTCCATCGTCGCCTCGACCAACTGGATGTTCAACTTCGTCATTGGTCTGACCACCAAGGACATGCTGAAGTCCATGAAGTACGGTACTTATATCTTCTTTGCCATCTTCAGTGCTCTGGGTGGACTTTTCATCTGGAAGTTCGCCCCCGAAACTAAGGATAAGACGCTCGAGGAACTGGATATCTTCTTCGGTGGCGGTATGGATAGTATTGCCGAGGCGGATCGTCAGCGCATGGAGAGAATCTATGATAGTCTGGGATTGAGTGGTGTTAAGGAGGTCGGCGATTTGGTGGTGGAGAAGGAGAAGGGAGAGATCACGGGTGAGGTTGTGGAGATGTCGTAGATTGAGTTGGCTGCTTACGGCAGACAATGAGGGGGTACGGTGAAAGGGAGTGTTTGCAGTTGAGGTGTGTGGTGTGTGAAGTCTTTGTCTGTGGTAATGTGTTTTTAATGTGTTGATGGTTTACGTGACTGATAACACTGAAATTGTGTAGCTATTTTGGTAATGATAATTGCTTATATGCACATTATCTCTTTCTCCTAGGATATCACATGAAGTATATATTAACACCGAACTCCCACAATAGTATAGTATCCTATTCTGTACAAAGATACCAAATGGGCTGGACAAACCCCAATATGTTACTAGATAACTATACTAACTACTATATTACACCCCCGAATCAATCTCATTCACGAAACCACGATTACTAAAAGCCGTCCAATCCCGACAAGTCTGAGCCATAGACTCCGGGATCGGAAGTCGTTCAATGTCATCTGGCCGTTCCTGTTCCGCAAGAAATCAAATCCACATTAGCATCCACCCCAACAGAGAGCACGAAACTAAGAAAGGAAGGAAGGAAGGAGGGGAAACAACTTACAACCACATTCAAAAGCAACCCGACACTAACATGCCAAGACATATGACAATGAAGAGGCCAAACGCCGGGATTATTCGCCTGCCATTCGAGCACCACATACGCGGGACTATCCTCCGTGCCCGGCTGGATGATGTGGGTATCACGACGCTGAGGATTCTTCGGATTAGTGACGACTCCATCCCAGGTCCCTCTTCCCTGGGCTAGCACCCAGTAATTGTGACCGTGGAGATGAAGCGGGTGCTGCATGGAGAAGAGATTGTAGATGATGAGACGGACGGAGGAGTTCGAGCCGAAGTTGTAAACGTTCAGGTCTGGGTCCGGGTCTGAGAAGTTGCCGGCTTTGCCTAGGAGGAGGAGCGGGGTGTTGTAGTCTGAGCGGAAGGTGCNAGTTGTTGACGTAGAATAAGGTGTGNCCGGTAGCGTTTTCGCCNAGGGTGATTTCCATGGTCTGGGTGGTGGCGGGGGTGGAGGGGGGTGTTTGAAGGTAGTAGGGGATGGTGAGGTTGAGGGGATCGTTGGCACAGTTGTTGCTCGACCAGGTTGTGGTGGTCGTGGTGGTTGGCCAGGTTGCTGTGTCGGCGTCTTCGTAGTAGATGGCGGCTTTGACGGTGGGGATGCTGGCCGTGGCATTGAGGCAGGTCATGTCGATGGAGGCGCGCATCCAGTATGACTCGGTTGGGTTGCCGGTGNCGGTTACGATGATGTCGGTGCGTTGGCCGACGCCGAGGGTGACGACGTCGGTGGTGTAGGGTTGTACGGGGACGAAGTCGTTGGCGATCACGGTCATGTTGTGGCCATCGATGGTGAACTTCTGGTTCGCGTTGGACCCGGTGTTCATGAGTCGGAGACGGTGGGTTTTGCCAGAGTGAAAGTTGAAGCGGGCTAGGCTGGACGCGGGGCTGCAGGTGGTAGTGGAGCTGCTGTTGCAGTTGTAGGCACCGCGGCCGTTGATCAGGTTGTTGTCGACGTTAGGGAAGACGGGGGGGATGGAGAAGATGTTTTCCAAGACTTCGAAGTAGCTTAAGTGGCTGTAGTCGGAGATAATGACGGGGCCTAGGTCGTAGTCGTAGCTGGCTTCGGGCTGGACAGGGCCGTGAATGATCATGGGCCCGTATGCGCCATCGGTGTATTGGGCGCTGTAATGGGAATGGTACCAGCTGGTGCCGTACTGATCTGCTTGGAATGTATACGTGAAGCTTCCACCGGGGGCGATTGGACACTGGGTGATGCCGGGAACTCCGTCTTCCCAGGGAGACTTGGCTTGGGTAAGTCCATGCCAGTGCAGGGTCAAGCCTTCTGCAGTTTCGGTTGTGATCATGTTGTTGACTGTGACCGAGATCATGTCGCCCCAGTTTGCTTCGATTAACGGGCCAGGGAATTGCCCGTTGATGAGGATGCCGCTCTTCTGGTAGCCATCCGGGGCGGTGATGTCCCGCGTGATGGTGAAGTTGTAGTGACGAGTAACACCTGTGTCAGGGGGCCCTCCTGAGGGAGAGATATCCTTCCATGGAGGGTGTTCGAGGTTGGAATGTTGATATTGGTTGTTGTTGCTACCAGACTTCAAGAAAGGGTCCAGATGGTATGTTGGCAAAAGGCCGTAAGGAGAAAGACCTAAATAAGAGGAGTCTAATCAGCGAGAGGAAAACGAAACAGACATGTAGAGGAATACCATCAGGGAGCAACGACTCCAAGGGGTTGAAGGAGGCAACCGTTCCCAAAAGTAGGAACCAAGACTGCCAATAGACCATGACGATACGCTATTGTGTTGTTTCCAGATGGCTGCATATTCGGTCGAGCCCCGGCTTAGGTATAAGTAGATTTTACTCCTGTATACTAAACCAGAATCCTGCGAGGAAAAGGTTTAATTTTAGACTTGCGAAGGATCAATATTTTACGCCCGGTTTGAGGTCAACAGTTGATCTGAGTGGGAACAAGAGGCTTGCAGACGGCTAACCACGTATTCCTGTGTATGTAGTATGCTGGCTTGTTGGATATCGTCTATACTACTACTGCTTCATATATATTCAGTTCACGAACTTGAATCCTGAATCCAGATAGGGATGTTTTCCAGAACTCTACGGATCTGCATCAGCAACGTGGTGCAGCTCTGCAGAGCAACGATGATCCTTGAATATGAGAGCCAACTCGACCTCCAGGTCCGAGATGAACAGGATCATACTTGATGCAGACTTAGCGACGGCCCCCAATAAGTGACCCACTTGCGGATAAAGATTTAGAAGATCTATAGTTCTGTACCCCGTAGATGTTGATTCTGCATTTGGCCCCCACGATGCTACTGCTTACTACTGTTTACTACTAGAGACTCACCCGACCCAACTGCTTGCTATTTTGCATTTCTAAATGTGTTTTTAACCTTTTATTTAACCGACTTTCTGGGGATATACATTCATTATCACGTGGCATGGGTCCAACAGTCCGTCAATTTGAGTGGAAATAAACCTCGATTTTAACCATT